GGCACCCTCCACAGGCTGATGACGATGACGACGCTGGTCCCCGCTGCCACCTCTGGAACCAGCACCGGCGGCTGCTCGCCAGGGACCCAGCAGCGGCTGCAGCATGAGCCCACGGAGGGCAGCAAGGAGCACCGAGGACCGACGTGGCCGCCCCAGCGAGCAGCCACCAGTGCCAGTGCCGGAGCTGGAGGCGGCATCGGGCACCAGCAACGGCGGCAGCAGCAGTCCGTGGAGGCCATCGGAGGAGGCTTGGGACTGCCTGGTAAGGTAAGGTGCCGGGTTTTGGTTTTTAAAAATTGTTCTGGGTGGGTTTTGCAAGGCTGGGGGGCGTTATGTTTCTGTGGTGTATTGTTATTTGTTTTTTGGTGATTTGTCTGCAGTCCCAGTGTGGGGCTTGCTTTGTTTATTTTTATTTTATTTTGGGTTTTTTTTGTTGTTGTTGTTGCCAGAACGAATTAATCGTGTTTCCAATGCATGCTTCAACTTACGACCATTTTGACTTACATTCCGTCTTCTGGAACGGATTATGGTCGTAAGTTGTGACACCACTGTATTATGGTCCCTACCCACCATATAGATTCAACTTGTACTTTCAAATATCTAGAAAAGAACACTCTATATCAGTAGAAAATTTAAATCCTATAAAATTCATGGTTTTAATTCTGCAGAGGTCCTTTTAAAATAATTTAAAAAAAAATTATAAAAATATTTCTGAATTCAGTGTGATCTAGCTTCATCATTTACTTGTTATTCAGTGTCTTCTAGTTACTTGATACATTCAACAGATACAATTTTTTTCCTTCTGTTACCTTGAGGTGCCGGAGGCATATTCTCGAGGTCTATTGGCTGCCCACTGTCCAGTGCTTCTAGAACCATGCTGAATTTCTGAAACAGAAATTACTTATGTTTAAAGTTAAAGAGATTCCCAAGTTTCTATCTTTTGTGGTAACAAAGAAAAAATGTAATGCACTGAGAAGCTTTGTTTATAATTTAAAAATCATGATAGAGATTGGATGAGGTTTCTCAGGAAAAAATAAGATGGATTTATGCTGTCCAAAATTCCACCTTTTGTCTTGTGATGTCCAGAACTCGTGATCTGGGTCCATCACATGTGCTATGTATGTCATACATAACAAGTACAGTGATGCCTCACAAGATGAAAATAATTTGTTCCGCGAGTCATTTCATATTGCGAATTTTCCCATAGGAATGCATTGAAAAAATTTGTTTTGCGAAGCATGGCCATAGAAAAATCATCTTGCGAGTCACCAAAAAAATCGCAAAGCGCTTTCGTCTTGCAAGTTTTTCGTTGCACGAGCCATTTGTCTTGCGAGGCATCACTGTATTCCTCTATTTGTCAGCAATCTGAAATTATACCATTTATAGAACAAAGCCAGCAGATCAAAGTCATTTTAGCCATTTTTTTCCTAATTCAATTATTCTGACTGCAAATTTTGGTTTAGCTGGTTATAGAACATGCATTTTCTAAGTGCATGGTTGTTTTAGTGATCCTGACACAATGAGACAGATTTCTTCTTTAAAAGATAATGATGGAATGTTAGGTCATTATTAGTTTAATAACGGGAAGTACCATCACTTTATAATGAAGCAGAATTTATTAAAACAGGACTATTCTACTGCTTCATTTCATTCCTGTTCAACAGGGGCCACTACAAGTGCATGGAAACTTATGATGCAATGGTTTGACTCGCATGGCAAGTTCTATTTCATGAACATGCCTAGAGAAAGAAATTCACCTTACAGATTCCATTTTTATGCTGAAAGTGAACTCAAGGCTCTCACACAGAAAAAAGGAAATAATCAAGTGACTCAAGGTCCCAATGCAAATTCCAGTTTGGACAAAGCTCCCTGGGTTTGTGAATAATGAAGCCTCACCTTCCCAGTCCTCATATATTCTTTTGCCTTCTCAAGATCACCTCTTTGTTTGGCCTTCAGTGCTGCTAATTTATATTCCTTCTCTCTTGTAACAAGCAGTGCTCGTGTACCAGGGTTTGGGGAATCTGAACAAGACAATAAAGCCAACCAATAAATCATCCCCTTTAAACAATATGCCTTAAAGATACCTCCCTTCTAGGTCTGGCCCATCTCCATGGAGGAGACAAGCACCAAACACAGGCTTATTTCCTATACAAAAGCAGAATGGGAATGCTTACGGGTATGGGCCACACTCAAACTACTTACGGCTTTCAGCAGTGTCATCTATTCCTAGAACATCCATATTCACATCCTGATCTTGGAGTGCAACCGGGCTCACAGGCTGCTCCAGATCACTGGCATTCATTACGTCATGGTCGGTAGAGGAGTGTTCCTTTCCCCCCTCCTCTCCCTGTTCAGGTACTGTAACCTCCTCTTCACTGCCTGAGCTTTTAGGCAAGTCATTATGGTGCATGACTTGTGGTGTAGTCACAGAGCTCTTCCCTGATGCTACAGGTGGTGGCATTTCTTCCTCATTCACTTTTTTCCCCTTCTTCACTGCAGTCAGCATGGCTTCCAATGCCTATCATTGATTGAGGGAATATAACACCTCATGAATAGAATGCTCACCACTACATGATCCTCTTTAGCAACCCCATTCATTATTCACTTACACACAGTTTACACATTATTATTATTCTCAACATTAACTAGAACAGTTCTTCCAGGCAAAATAACAAAATGATCATTGTTTGGTCACTCAAAGTAGCATACTGACCAACACTGTCTTGCAAAGGTATATTTTGCTATCATTTCTAATTTCTAAAATAGCTCACCCTATAATATATGGTTCTATATATAACACTGCAAGTCCTAGCTTTGAGTGATTTTTTAAACTAGCTTGGATTCAACTTACTTTCACTGTGAATCTCCCAAGTTTCTACATTAGCAACAAGTCCTATCCTTGGCTACTGGAAGTCCCACAGAGTACAAAGGAATTCTAGCACGGCAGCTAGAATTCTCTTAACTAGAACAGAAACTACACATGCTGCAGGACTGCCAACAAACAGACAAGGTCAAAATCAACCAAAAGATCAGAATGAAGTACCGCCAGCTTTTGAGGAGCAGCTGTGCCTCTTTTTAACTTGCTGTGTCATGCTAAAGGTGTAACAGAAGAATTATATACTGAGACATACAGAAGAGCCTAGCTCTTTCTTCAGGTGTTACTTACTACTGTTTAGTCTAGATGTGGGGAGGGGAGCATGTTAGTCTTGTCACTTTTGTCACCACTTCATTTATGTGCAAAACTATGATTCTGAAGCAACCTCCTGATTTTTCACCAGAGCTTCCAGGAACAGAGGAGTCTTCCCTCTTCAGACTCATCCCTTTTTGCATAAGAAAAGTGAAAGCAGAGGAGATGGTACTCCCACATTCCCTTCCCTATGTAATAAATGAACACTGTACATAATCCCTGAATAGGGCACTGAGGGTATATTTTAGTCAGCAGGGCATCACCAGTTGAGCCTTAAATTATGCTTGCATGGCAGCTTTGCAAAGGGTTCTACAGGACGCCTGGAAACATACACCCTACTATCATATGGGGGACAGCAAGAGTTTTCAGTTCTCTGAGATTCATGAAAACATTCACAAGGCACACAAAATTGGAAAAAACACTATTCCATCCATTCAGCTCTTCAGATTGCAAAATTCATAGGTAAATCTCTGACACAGAGCAATTAGAAAGCACGAAGTTCCTCCTTTGCTAGATGGCAAAGAGACCAACAAGGGAACTGTACACTATAAGGGAACACGCAGTAGTATTTTCAGTAACACAAATGCAGGAACACAGGAAAGAAACATTGTGTACACCTTGCAAAAAAGCACCACAAATATTACTGAATTTTCAGTCCTAAGGGAGTTAGGTATCTGACTGCAAAGCCAGAGGCTGGGAGTTCAATTCCACATAATACATCCCAGAAGAGCCAGCCTGTGTGGCCTTGGGCAAGCTGCACAGCCTCAGGGTGCCCCCAGAAGAAGGGAATGGCAAACCACCTCTGAATATCTACCTGGAAAGCTTGAAAAAAGGGTTGCCATAAGTCAAAATTGATTTATGACAGCATATAAGCCAACCAATAAAACCTCTCAGTTGTGCGGGTGCATGGCTGCGCAGCACTGTATTGGTTCCATGCACCCACAGTTAATATTGCCACTCCTTTGGTTCCAGTCATGGCTGGAATTTTGTCCAGGCAGGGCAGGGTTTCTGTTTAGTGCTGGTGGAGAATTAGAGGGAACGTTGCATACAAGCATCATCATCATGATCATCAGACACACATTTCTGCTCTTCTCTGAAGCACAGTCACAGCATTTGAATCTTTTTCTATCTATAAAACATGGGCCATTTAACAAAGTATCTGGAAAATACCAACTACTACATAAAAATTAGCAATGTGCATTTTGCAGTGTAATTAGTAACCCAACTGAGCATCTGTAGATACTGCTGAATCAATTGCCTACTAGATCAATATATATAAGTAAATTACCATATAAAAGTTAAAACCAATGTTAATAACAACTTCATTTCCATAGTTTTTTATTTCTCCCACTCAAGTAATAATCAATTTGAATGCATTTTTGTGCGGGAATATGTATCAGAGCATGAAAATATTATTCAATAGCTAAGTCTGGAAAACAGAAAATAACCTTGGTTAAATTCCTTACTGACTAAAATGCTTTAAAACCTGAACCTAACCCCTATAAAATGTTATACATGAGAAATATTAATGGAAGTGCTTCATTTATCCTAGACAACTCTGCCTGTAAAAAAAAAAACTGAGATAGAAAATGATTGGCATCCAACTGTATGAATGAAAATGAAAACCATTTTTTTGCCCTCTTCTATGCAGTTTTGTAATTCATCCAGAGCTTTATACAACTCCTCCAATGAGAAGATGGAGAGTGGCGGTCCTACATACCTTGAGGCCTCGCTCATACCGTCGCACTTTGGCACTCTCACCAGCCTCTTTTGCATTTGCAATGGCTGCTTTATAGTTAGCGATCCTTTCTTCTATTGATTGTTGCAATCTACTGGAAACAGCAGGAGTCATCTTGAAGAAAAATAAAGCAGAAAATAAGGCAGACAAGCCTCTTGCTCTACTGAATGACACTCAAAGCGTGGCCAGCAGTCCCAAACCAACCTCTGCAACATGCACAGATAGGACTCCAGACATAAGCAGCCCAGCCCTCCCTTCTGAACAGGGGAGTGTTTGTTCTTCAGCAAAAATTCCACCGGTCACCTCCAGGCCTTCTGCCAAAGAACAGGAAAGAGGTGGGTGGAGCACCTCACAAAATTCTAGAGCCACAGAATAACTGGAGAGATGTGGTCAGCGAAAGGATGAAGGAACATAGTCACAACATCCTAGTCATTTCAGGTAAAGCCAGCTACACAACTATTTTTGAGTATTAAAGAACCTTTCTCCCATCTGCTGTGAGTATCCAAGAGGGTCTCTAAATCAGGATTGTTCAAAAATTTCCCTCCTCCTCTTTGGAGATGGAAAAGGCACCAGACAAACACTCTGCTCAAACATATAAGGAAAACAGTTGGCATTTCACCACTAAGAAAACAGTCTCTTAAGAGGCTGCCAGCATGACTAAGTAACAACAGAACTGCTCATCAAACAGGATCTTGCTGGCTAATAGGAATGATACTGCGAGTTGGCCGAATGTGTTTAAAATAGGAGTAAAACACCAGCTAAAAAGCTTTGAACCAAGAATGGGAAACTTCCTGAGGTTGGGGCCTGCATTATGTGCTGCCAGTCGTGAAAACATGCCAACAAACCTTTCACCACTGCTGTCCCAACAATCCTGGGTTTACAAACCAATGATCTGTATGTGTCCTGTTTCCCAGGAGAGCCACATTCCCAGCTACCTGCTGTGAGCTAAATTCTTCCAAGAAAAAAAGGTGTATGTTCCCCAGGTGCCATGTCTCTTAGCACAATTGCTGGGACTTTGACAACAATGATTTAAGAAGTAGGGAAGACATGCTAAGCAGGCTGTACAAATGGTCAGGGGGGCACAAGGCACCAGCTGTTGGTTGCCTCCTTCTGCTATAAACAGACACATGCGACCAAGGAGAACATCATGGAGGGATTCTGTCCAATCTCACATGGTCTATAGCAGTGGAAGGCAATCTAGTACTTTTGAAGTGCTACAGGTTACAATTCCCAACAATCCCAGCCAATGAGGCCAATGATGAAAGATTCTGCCAACTGTAGTTTAAGCACATCTGTGTGCCAAGATTTCTGGCCCTGATCTGGATACTGCTCAGTTACTGTCCCCAAAACTAGCTCTCTCAAAAGATCCCGTTCGTAGATCAGTTACCTACTTCACTTGAAAATCTGTATCCCAAACACTGTTGAACTAGCACAACAATATTGCCAATAGTAGTCATACTCTGCAAATGTTAAGGAACCTCCAAATTTACTTAGAATAAACACAAACACTGTGCCATGTTCCCAGAAGAGAAGGCAGATATCTTAAGTATTCGGCAGCTTATTACTCTCCAGATCAGCCCCAACCAGCATAGCTTATTATTGGAACTGGTTGCTGTCCACAAGATCTGGAAGGCACCATTCTGGAAAATCATGGTACAACAAAAGCACTGGAGGGTGGACATCCATTTCCATCTTTTTAAAATTCAATATATTCCTATCCAAAGAGCAGATTTCACCTACCTGTGCCTGGTTAGTTTCAGTGTGCTCTTCTGTGGTTACAGATGATATTTCCATTGTTTCTGTCTCATGTTCGCAGCTTGCTCCTTCATCTTCATCTCCCAAGACCAACTGCAATTCCGCCTAGAGCAAGAACCAGTGCAATGGTTGCTGCAGAATAGTCTCTTCTATTTTAAATCCTGTGATCAAATGAGGCACAGGGTATTTCACACCTTTTAGCTACTATCCTTCAAAGACAGGGGCCAGTATCCTACCTCAACTTTCCACTAGAGAACATTAAATCAATTGCTGAACTGTTGAATGCTGAGTGTAAATATCACTAAATCAATGGACTTAATCTGATTGGGATTAGCAACAGCAGTGGTCCCCAACCTTGGGCCTCCAGATGTTCTTGGACTTCAACTCCCAGAAATCCTGGCCAGCAGAGGCGGTGGTGAAGGCTTCTGGGAGTTGTAGTCTAAGAACATCTGGAGGCCCAAGGTTGGGGACCATTGAGCAACAGGATACCGGCCAGAGCCTTGAAGTTTCCTATTTTAAATCAAACAGTATTCTTCTTATGCTGAACCACTGCAATTTAAAAAAGAAAACACAACGAATGAATAGAAGAGTTCTTTAACCATGACAAATGAATGTCATTTTCGGGAAGTTAATAAGAAGTTATTTTTCTATGAAACTCTGACATACTATTCATGCACTATATCGTCATTTAGCTTGTTTAAAGTAATTGTAGTGAAAATGTTGTCTGAGGCTTTTAGGAATGGGAGAGCTGTTCTACTATTAACTTCTTATCTTCTGCACCCCTATCTAAAGCACATCATTTAAGAGCCCTAATAAATACTTCAGCCAGTCAATAACCTGTGTGGTTCTAGATGAAATCAACTTTTATAGGGACATTATTTCTGAAAATTATTACAGCTATTAAGCAAACAAATGCCACAGTCTTGCACATAATTACTGTTACACTGCGGTGATGCTAATGGAACTTTCCACTTCATAACTTCATGCAAGACTGCAGCACATATTCTTGAGTATCACCCTTTCTGGAAAGATGGAGTTCCTGATGGGCCAACTTCAAAAGTTGCATATGAGAGAAAAAGGCCCATATAACATTTCTACCCCCAGAGTTTCAATATAATGGCATTATATTCACTAGAATCTCCCCCCTCAGTTTGGTCTTGAAGAAAATGAACATTATTTTTAAACAACTGACAGAAAACCAGTTGTGCAACGTATTTTGTGTAAACTGATGATTTCATCAGAAAATCAAAAGTTCCAATACCACCCCCATTCCCACCAGGTCCTGAGAATCTTTTGGGTTCCCTTTTATCATTGGGAAACTGTTGGAGACTGCTGGAGGAGAGTGCTTAATTCCCTAAAATCACAATCACCAGTAATGGCATCCTAGTGCCAACAATTTCCAGAAATTAATGACTCCTCCCTACATCCCGCAGCCCTGAACAGATTCCTGTGACAAAAGAGATCCCAAGGGAACCTCAGAAATATTCCCAACAAGTTTTCAGCCTCATTCCTCAGAGCTCTTGCACTCCAAAGGAATAAGGATAAATTTGAAAAGGTAGTAAATCTTGCTCCATATTGTGAATAGAGCTTTATCCTTATGAAATTAAAAAAGCATATTGCAATATGGTATTTTCCTCTTCAAACATTTGGATTTGTTACACCTACAACATGAAGTCCTAACCGTAACAATGTAGGCTAGCCTTAATATTTCTTTTACTCTGGCTAATATAAATATTCTTTATCCTGCAACTGGAGGCAACAAGGTCAGGAGCAAGCAAAAGCCTTGACTTCTACTCTTCAAAAACCCTGAATCTTAATACAGTGGTGCCTCGCATAACAAGCGCCCCGTAGAGCGATTAAATCGCTTAACGAGGGGCTCTGGGCCATCGCTGGAGCATTCGCTCAGCAATGGCCCCTATGGAGGTTTTTCGCATTGCGATATTCGCTAAGCGATTCGCTTAGCGAATATCGCATAACAAAGCGGGGGAGAACAGCTGATCGGCGGTTCCAAAAGGGCCGCCGGAAGGTCCCCGCCGCATTTTCACGCCCTGCCCTCGCTTACCGAGGGCGTGAAAATGGCGGCGCTATGGAAGAACTTCGCACAACGGTGAGTTTTCAAGCCATAGGAACGCAGTGAACGAAGTTCAATGGTTTCTATGGCTTTTTTATTTCCGCACAGCGATGTTTCCCATAGCGAGGGTTAATCCGGAACGGATTAACCTCGCTATGCGAGGCACCACTGTAATCATATCCAACTAGTGGCAATTAATTTTGCTCCTCTTTATCACAATGTTCAACACCTTTAGGATTATGGATCATGGCATCATGCAATCTTCTTGTAAGGTGATAATGCCTTTTCCTTTTCACTATGAAAAACAGCCTTTCAACAGAGTACCATATATACCAAAAGTTCGGTATCTTCCTCCAGACCTTCATCATCTTCCTCATTCAGGTCCTGCATGCACTCAGCAGCCATCTTTTCAATATGCTCCATAGGCAAAGGGGCTGGTAAAAAGCAAAAGGGTGAAAGGCTGAAGAAGGGAACCGGACGGTTCAGAGAAACATTCACTGTGCATAAATATTACAACTATAGCAGATTTTAAAAAGCCTCTTTTAGGCATTTTAGACATTTCTTCGAAGTAAATTTTTTTAAAATCAAATTTACCAAAAACTTACTATCAAACTTGCCTCCCTCAGCCATCCTCTGTTTTCGTTCTGCAGAAAATCTATGATATTATGGGAACAAACTGTTCAGGAAACCTTTGTTAACCTGGCACCCTCAAGATGTTTTGGACTTCAGCTCCCATGATCCCTTAATGATGGCCATGTTGGGAGGGCTGATGGGAGCTACGGTCCAAAACATCTAGAGGGAAAGCTACAAACGGCCAAAGCAACATTGGGGCCTAAGACAGAATCTTCCACAAACACCTGTCCTCTTCCTCTTTCACAATAAACATTTAACAAGTAACTATACATTTGCTATCCTGCTGTGGTGCATGAAATCAATCAAGTCACTCTGCTTAAAGGCACAGCTGGCACTGGCACACAAAATACCTCTTGGGCATACACCCAAGCTTTCCATGTGCACAGGCTATCTGCTGTGTATGCAAAAATAATAGCAAAATGAAATTTGAAAGGGGTTACCTTTGCAGTACCTTGTCTGAAGAACTCACTTGCCTTTAATTCCATATTCTATCTCTATTACAACACTTGCACAAAGGGGGTCAACGGTGTGACCACCACCCATTTTTTGAGACAATAATAATTTACAGACATGTCTGATGCATAAAACAAAAGCAAACAAAAACATGTGATGGTTCCAGAGCTCCCCTCAAGGCCCTTTGGCCTGCATAAATGTGAGAAAGGAATCTACACAAATTCTTCCTTCCCTCCTTCCTTTGTCATGCTGCCCCAGAGAATCACGTGGATTCCAGGTGTCTACAGGGAGTGGAGGTACTGGTCAAAATCATCTGGTTCCCTACTTTTCATTGTGAACCAAAAGCTTTCTACAGGGAGAAGGAACTGTTCATTTAGCTGTGCAGGGACCTCAAACCTGGTTCTCCTAAATTCAACCTCAACATTGTTTCTTAGCCTATCATCTCTGCTGAACAATCACTGACAACTCATTTCTATGACAGTCCTATTGTCTTTGCAAATTCGAAGTCATGAGTCTTAAGGCTTGTAGAGATATCTCATTCCCTCCTACTTTTCTATTATCATCTCCTCCTCCATCACATCCAGCCATCTGTTCAATCTCCCTTCTGAAATTGCTCCATTTGACTCCTGTTGCTCACTTCAGCATTTGTTATTGTTGCTTCTGCATCTACTTCAGCCTGTCTGTTTCTACATTGCCAGAAAAGAATACATCCCATACAACCTCTAGTGAGGCCAGTAGAAAAGGAGATATTGGCCTTTCGCACAGCTGCCATCAAATGCACCCTTCCTATGTGTACAACTACCCATAGTAATTATCTGTGTAGTCATATGTAAGACAGCATTATAAAGCCTCCTTGTTATTAACAGGTAAATTAACAATTGCATAAGAAAGGCAAGAAGTCAGTACAAGAAGTAAATTGCACTTAGTTCAATGGAAATATTTCCAGGTAAGGAGGTAACAGGTTATAGCCTAAATGCAATTTCCAAACAGATGTCCCTTGATCTTGAACAATTAATCTTTTCTAGAAAATTTACTTACTTTTTCCTTTAGTTTGTGTTTTTCCAACAGGCAGCTTCTCTCCAGTGATAGCCGCTAGTTCTGCTTCTAGGTCTCCATCATCCTCCAGGTCTAGTATCATTTCTTCAGCATTAAATTCAACAAACAGTCCCAGCTGATGTCAGGGGAAAAAACTCACTTCAATAAGAGCAGGACTCTTATATTATTAATCACAATTGTTTCTGTACATCATAGTCTACATATTAGAAATCCAAATGGTTGCAACACTGGCTTTCTTTTCTCTCATCCAAGCCTTCTTTAACCTCTGTGTCTCAGCCTGATAATCGTAACAGCAATAGTGTGCTATTGCCACCTAAATTAAATTTGTATGTGTATCCTGTTTCATCATCACTTGGGCTTTTTATTTATTGTCTTCACTGTTCAGAGGTGATTAATGTTGGTATATGGGGTGGAGGGTTTAGAGTAGTGCTTTGCACTAAATCAGCAGTATAGAAATGCACAAAATAAATAAATAGATAAAATCACAGAATCATAGAATTCTATGGGGTCCTTTTAAGGAGAAAGGCGGGGTAAAATATTTTAAATAAATAAATGAAATAAGTAGAATTGTAGAGCTGGAAAGGGCCCCAAGGAACATCAGCCCCCTGCTAATGCAGTGAATCCACACCTTAAAGCATCCTTGGTGGCCCTCCAACTTCTGCAAGTCAATTCTGACATATGGTGACCCTTCTAAGATCTTTCCAGGTATAAAGTACTTTGAAATGGTTTACCAGTTCCTTCTTCTGGAGCACTCGGGTGCTATATAGCATACCCAATGCCACACAGGGCATCTTTTCTCCTGGGAGTCATGCCAGGACTCAGATCTCAGACTTCTGTCACTCCAGCTCAGTGAGCTATTCAGCCATGATTAACAAGTACTACAGTATTTGATTCAGTTTGGGATATGACGAAAGTGCCCAGAATAAATGTATGAAACTGTAATACTTTAAAAATCTCCTTGAGTTGACTAGCAGAGAGGGTAGTTACTTTTTGTGGATCTCCCTGTTATCTGAGCACCCACATTACGTAATACTCATGAACTAACGTTGGCATTTAGTTCTGTGTTCCCCAGAGCAGCTGTGAGGCTCATCAAGCATTCCTAAATGGGAGGAGATCAGCAGTGGCCGGGAAGTTTGAATGAAACATAGTCTCTTGTGCACTATCCCTGTTCCTCTGCAACAAGCAGCACTGAACTCTAAGTGTTCCTTCCTCATACAAGGTAAACAGTAATGTCCAGTAGGCCTGAGAAGTCCCATTGGTAAACTGAGTGTATGCTCTAAACCAGTGGTTCCCAGCCTTGAGTAACCCAGGAGTTCTTGAACTGCAACTCTCAGAAGCCTTCAATACTAGCTGTGATGGCCAGGGTTTCTGGGAGTTGCAGTCCAAGAACATCAGGTCTACTGAAGGTTGGGAACCACTGCTCTAAAATATGGGCCAGAATGTTATGTGACAGGACTTTGTGTGGGAGTGGAAGAAATATGTTAACTAAAAATCATGATCTATCACACTGGACTCACTCAGATACAGTGAGTACTGGGGTTGTGTGATACACCAAGCTTTGGGGCTTAGATCTTTTACTAATTTTAGATTATTTTAGATTAACCATGGTTTGCCCTGTCATCTAAATCAAGACAAATCCTGGTTACTCTTACCTATGGTTACTTTAAACATGCCAAGCTCAAACCATAACTTACGGATCTGAGCTGTTTCTTCTGCAAAATGAAGATTAATCACAGTTTATGACCTGAATTATATCCTAAATTACAATCTTTTTATGGCTGTAGTAGAGTAGAAGACAAGTGGGAAGCACACAAATTCAGCCTCATTTGCAAAATTAAAGGGAAAAAGAAACAGAAAGGGAAAATAGTGGCATCTTAAAGATTAATGATTTATTTCAGTGTGAATTTTTGTGGATCAAAATCACCTTCTTCAAACAGGAGTTCAGCCTTCATTCATTCTTACAATACCAAATGACGACTAGCATCAAGTCAAAATCAAGCCATTATTCTGCTGAAATAAGGTGAAGCTGTGTCATTGTAATATATTTGTATATTCTGTCACAGCTAGCAAAAACCACAGACCGCACTGGTTAACAACCAACAGAAGATTTCTTGTTTGTTTCCTGTCTGAAAGGAAATTTCACTCAATATGTTTATTTTACTATTATCTCAGAAAAACCTGTAGACCTCTTCTAACTTGAACCCTGTGCAAAGTTTACTAGACAGTTCTTTCTCTTAAAATATTTTGTTTGCTTTTTAACTTTTGCATGTCAAGCTCAAGTAAGAAAGAACACTACAACATTACTTAAAGGCAGAAGTCCAATAATCAAGAACAACTAAGGCTGGTTCTTCACGTAAAAGGCCCATTAAATTCAGTTAAACTATATACTGTATTACATTAGCTACCCATGTTGCTCATAATGCAGATTCAGTATGGAACATAAGTCATCAAGTTTAAGGGCAAGTCACTAGAAACCAAGGCTAGGATCATTTACATTATTTTATTCCTTATTACAGGTTTGAAAGTTGGACAGTGAAGAGAGCTGACAGGAAAACAAATGATTTGTTTGAAATACTGTATGGTGCTGAAAGAGACCTTTGCAGATATCCTGGATTGCCAGAAAGAGAAATAAGTGCACTCTAGAACCTGAACTTTCTCTGGAAGCAAAAATTATGAAGTTGCATTGTCTGTCATACTTTGGGCACATCATGAGAAGGACAGACTCACTGGAAAAAAACAATAATGCTGTGAAAGTTTAGGGGCAGTAGTAAAAGAGAAAGACCAAATGTGCGATAGAAGCTACAGCCTTAAATTTACAAGAACTAAGCAGAACAGTTGAGGACATGACATTTTGGAGGTCATTCATAGGCCACCATGAATTAGCAGTGAGTTGATGATATGCAATAACAACAACATGTTCATGATGCTGGATGAAGAATTATACATGTTTAGGGTATATCAAATACAATCAATCTTCCTGAATTACTGTAACATTCTTCATGGGGCTCTTTTTGAAGAATGTTTGGAAACTTCAGCTGCAACCAAACTGTTTTGTGTGTTTGCATGTTAGTGTCATCAAGTCATTTCCAATCTATGAGGACCCTCGTAATGTTTTCAAAGTATGTGATTTATCCTTGCCACACTGCTGAGTTTCCACAGCTAAATGGATATTTGAACCCAAGCCACCTGAGCCTTAGGGTCCACTATACCACAGTGGCAATTTAACATGCTGCTTACAACCCACAAAGATGCCCATGGCTTAGGACTAGACTATTTGAAGGATCATATTTACCCATGAGCCTCCCCAGGTTTTAAACTCTTTGGGAGAAGCCGTTCTCTTGGTTCATTTCAATCACAGGAATATCTAGTGAGAATTCAACAGCAAGTCTTTTCACTGGATGCTCCCAGACTGCTTTCTATAGATTTGATTGGCCTTCTCTCTGGTGTACTTGCGCTTACAGGCACAGCATTTGGCCACTACATTTAATGGCCTTTAAAATTATTAAATGCTTAATTTTTCTCTTAATATTTTGATTGCTGTATCTGCCATTCCCTCCAAGACCCATCATTTTGTCAGTTACTTGAACTGGGAGAAAGTAAGGATATGAATGAAATAAGTAGAATAGACCCACTGATGTTAAGGGGACTACTTAGGCAAAATTAATGTAAGTCACCATCTTTTGAATGTTGTTGTTGTTTAGTCGTTAAATCATGTCCGACTCTTCGTGACTCCATGGACCAGAGCACTACAGGTCTTCCATTGCCTCCCGGAGTTTGGTCAAATTCATATTCTTCAATGACACTGTCCAACCATCTTGTCCTTTGCCATCCCCTTCTCCTCTTGCCCTTTCCAAGGAGTCTTCTCTTCTCATGAGATGGCCAAAGTACTGGAGCCTCAGCTTCAGGATCTTTTGAATGAGTGTACCCTAAATACATTTCATTCTGGATCCAGCCATTGATTTCAATGGACTAAAGCTCACATCACCTCTTTTTAACCTACTGCCAATATACTAGCATGTAGATGATTTTACTGCTTTGTTTTGCAGTTCTACTCTCTACTATTACTTTCTCCTGTGGTCTAATCACAAACTTCCCCTTTTCCTCCACATATGCCTGTCATAAAATTTGTTTGAAAATATGATGGTCAGGGTGGAGGACAGGGCAAGAAAGATCCATAGTCGTTGTCGTTTAGTTGTTCAGTCGTGTCCGACTCTTCGTGACCCCATGGACCAGAGCACACCAGGCCCTCCTGTCTTCCACTGCCTCCCGGAGTTGTGTCAAGTTCATGTTGGTTGCTTCGATGACACTGTCCAACCATCTCATCCTCTGTCATCCATAGTGGGTGGGGGTAATTCACAAAGTTCCACAGTCTCACAATATCTTTATTAGGACAACCAAGATACCCCCAAAGCTTGCAAGCGCTCAGATTCTCCAGAATTCTTCACAAAGCTAAATTATACTGCAGGAATACAAGGCTCCTCCTCCCATTCTCTCTTTTACAAAACCAGATTTACTAGCATGCTGGGAAGTTTCTGATTCCCCTGCACCATGTAGTAGTTCCAGCTGGTAGAGCTATTTATTCTGCTAAAACAATACATGCTCTTTCATCAGGGCCCACACCATATTAAGCCCTTGCAGCTGGAGCCAGTCAGAGTCAGACAAAGACCAGGAAACAGGTCACACATATAAGATTGCAGCATGCAGGGTTAAACAGGCTGATCTATGAAAAGCTGGTGGATTCCACTTCACCAAGGTTGCCCTAAACAGAATTTTGGTCCATCTCCATTCCAATTCCATCAATATTTGTTTCAAACCAGTGACTAATTGTGATTCATATATGGCATCGCCCACATTTAAATTATCTGTAATACTCAAAAGCAAGTATCTATTTCAAATGCAGAGTCAATCACTATCCTAGCAGCAATATTAATAACTTTAATTAACAACAAGATTTATTAAATCAAAGATGAAGAAGCCAAGATAAGTATCCCAACTTTCTCTCAAAGGACAGTTTTCTTTTTTGGTTACAAAATACTTCAATTATCATAATCTTTCTAAGAGTTGGCAGAAAATGCTGATAGGAACCAAAGACAATAATAAAGGAATGACTCCTAGCTCACAAGTCACAAATTTAAAGGTTAAAGTACAAGGCAGAGTATAGCCTTTGAAGAAGTGCCTGGGTTGGCATCTGTCAGGACTGTTTTAATTTTAAGAAACTCTGCCACTGCAAAAGGCTATATAGATGGATCTTAGATACTTAAACAATTCAAGGTTTCCCAGAGCAAATTATGCAAGTGAGTGACCTCATGGTCTCAAGATATGGGATATCAAAGACATCACGACTCTATTATGAGAAAAGAGAAAGGAACAAACTTGTACTAGATCTCTGTACTAGTCAGGCTGGGGAACCTATGGTCTTCCATGTAAAATGCTATTCCCATAATCCATCACCACTGCCAGGCTGGTAGGGGCTGATGGAAAGCAGTATCTGGAGGCCACTAGCTCCCTACTCCTGCAGTAACACAATAAAAATTTGAAAACAAAATGAATTAATACACACACTGATTAATACACACACAGTTGGCACATATACCTGTTTTGCAGTTGCTGCTGCCTGACCCTTCACCTGGGGGCTCTTTCTGGGTCTCCTGCCAAGCATATTGCCTCCTCAACAGCCAACACAGCTGCTTTGCCGAGTACACAAAATGTATCTGCAAACATGACACAAACAGTAAGTAAACATATATTTCCAGTTAAAGAAAATCACCCTAACCAGATAACAAGTTGGAAATGATACCAGGCTGCTGCTGTCCCCTGCTATAGGACTTCATTCTGTCAGGCAGTTAATTGTTCCCCATTGTTTTGTAGCTATAGGACAAGCAGAGGGGCTGGGCACTGTCATATCTGAAAGACATCAGGGGGTCTCCTACTAACTCTCCTCAGACTGAAGCTACTTGGATGAGTAGCAAAGCGTTTCAACCTAATAAGAAGTCTAGTTGCCATGACTCAACTTCCAGATAACCGCACCTGGATGATTGAGAATCTTCACAGATATCTGAAAGACATTTACTGTCTAGCTTATGCTAGTCTAACACCAGTGGAACAAAGGTATTGTACAGTGGGGTCTCTACTTAAGAACGTCCCTACTTAAGAACAATCCAACTTAAGAACAGCTCCATTTGCTAAATTTTGCTTCTACTTGAGAACAGAAATCCAAGATAAGAACAGGAAAAGAAAAACTTTCCTGCTCTTTTTTTAACCTTAGGTCATCCAACTTCCAGATAACCGCACCTGGATGATTAAGAATCTTCAGATATCTGAAAGACAGTTACTGTCGAGCTTATGCTAGTCTAACACCAGTGGAACAAAGGCATTGTACGTAGTATTTTTTATTATTATCACCAACAGTCCATGAAGTGATGGGATATATGCTGATGCTCAAGTCTCTCTATAAGCCATACCAACTGATCTAGCCCTCAAAAGAACACCAGGCTGGGGAGGGGAAAAACAGATCCTGAGCTACAGTTCAACAATAGAGCACATTCTTTCATATAATAACAATTCTTGTCTAATCCCACCACACCCACTTACACTCATAAAGTCTCTCTATAAGCCATACCAACTGATCTAGCCCTCAAAAGAACACCAGGCTGGGGAGGAGAAAAACAGATCCTGAGCTACAGTTCAACAATAGAGCACATTCTTTTATATAATAACAGCTCTTGTCCAATCCCACCACACCCACTTACACTCGGAAACCACAATAACCCAAATTTGTGTTAAAAAAAGTTTCAGGTACTGTATACAGGTGTGTTGCTATGTTTATACTGTCAGTGAGCAGAACTGGGTCTTCACTATCAAGAACGACTGGGGAAAATCCTTTATTCTTATTTCGTGTTCTGGAAGGCCAGGTGCAGAAATTCAAAATAACTTCCAAGACTGAAACTAAGCTAACCTCTGTATGTGCATTTAAGTTTAAAAAAAACATATGCTGATGCTCAAGTCTCTCTATAAGCCATACCAACTGATCTAGCCCTCAAAAGAACACCAGGCTGGGGAGGGGAAAAACAGATCCTGAGCTACAGTTCAACAATAGAGCACATTCTTTCATATAATAACAATTCTTGTCTAATCCCACCACACCCACTTACACTCAGAAACCACAATAACCCAAATTTGTGTTAAAAAAAGTTTCAGGTACTGTATACAGGTGTGTTGCTATGTTTATACTGTCAGTGAGCAGAACTGGGTCTTCACTATCAAGAACGACTGGGGAAAATCCTTTATTCTTATTTCGTGTTCTGGAAGGCCAGGTGCAGAAATTCAAAATAACTTCCAAGACTGAAACTAAGCTAACCTCTGTATGTGCATTTAAGTAAAAAAAAAAAAAAAACTGCCACCATAATTTCCAGGAGGTATGCACTCCTCCGGGACACTGACTGGGCTCACCAGCCTGACACGCTCCCCCCTCCCCTTCCGATGAACTCATAGAAAAGCGCGGGTCACGTTCTGTCACTCAGGGAACGCAAGATCGGTTGCGTGTATGAAGCATCCATCCTCACGACCATGCCCACAAAAAAACAGACAAGAGCTTGGGCAGGAGCTGACACAGAACCCAAGAAAGACGCTTTCACGAAGGCAGGACCCAGAGGAGTCGTGTAATCATTTAGCCGCCGACTGATGTTCAGACACGTGTGAATCAGTTCAACCCAAAGTCAAAACAGAAAACGAGGGCCAGTAGTGAGTTCATTACGATCCCTCTCACGCCCCTCTCTCTCCTCGGGTCTCTTAGGGGCTTCAGAGGACCAGGAACAAGGCAGCGTCCCAGGTTCAATGAACGACCAGCCTTCCCACCAAGGGGGAGGGGCAAAGGGGGGAAGCACCACAGCAACCGACCCCCCCTACCCTACCCTACCCTCCGTCTCAA